CCACACCCACAACATCATTTCTAAGTAACTGGATGGAACTAAAAAAAAGTTCCAAGTGGACAAATTCGTGAGAGAAAAAAATGATTATATTCAATTATTTCAGTTGTTTGAATTGTAGTTTTGGTTATTCTAATTAAAATATTATTGATGAGCAGTTTATGGACACTTACTGTGCACTGTGCCAACTTAGTTTAGATGAAACTACAGAAACTATTTCAGGCTCTATACTTTCAGAGATCTTATGTTATTTGTGTACAGGCTTCAATGACTCAGCTAGTTGGTGAGTCAAGTATCCATAATTTAGCACTGAGAAAGAGTCCCGTACATAAAAATCTCAATCTTTTCATCAGGAAAAGTTTGAGAGTCTATCTTCTTTTGCACATGCCTTTCTGCTTGCCTCTTATGAAGATTTTTTCCCTTCAAGAATTTTTTTTTTTTGGTTTCTTTTGCCTTTAATTTTCCTTAAAATAACTTTGGGACAGAAAGGCACATCTGTATGTTTTTCCTTAAGATTCCTATTAAGTTTATAGGGTGCAGAGTTTATGGAATTATTCAAAATTAAATAGTCAAAGGCCGAGTTTTAGATTCAGATTTGGTCTGTTTCCAAGTTCTATGCCCTAAACATTGTGTGCCTTTCTTAGGAATAATTGGACTGAGTGGCCCAGCAATTCTGTTTATATTGAAATATTCTGTTGTTCCTTATCATTTATGAAATTTCACCCAAATTAGTAATATGCAATAGTTTTTGTGGTATTCAAAGCTCACTATTTAAAATGAGTGAATTGTTTCTGCTTTTTTTTTAAGTAAATAGAATAACAATAAATAAATAAAGAGTATTCTTAAGTATACAGCTCTGGGAAACATAAATCTTTTTGAATTAGTGTTTTCATGTTCTTTGGATAAATACCCAGAAGTGGAATACCTTAATATGTAAAGTGTCTTCATAAGTACATATTAAAAAGATGAAGAGCCCAATAGAAAAATGGGCAAAAGACATAGACAGACAATTGTGAAGTAAAAAAATACAAATAACCAATTCATGAATAGGTGGTCAACTCCACTAACAATCATGAAATGCCTTGAAAAATCAATAAGATGCATTTTCAGGTAGCAGATGAGTAAAAATAAAAGCCATAATAAACCATCTTGTCAAGAAAAGGAGAGGTGAAGAATGGATATTTTCATGGATCATTTTAGTGAGATAAGTTTTGGAATCATTAATTAAAAATTTCTGAAGTTCATAATTATAATGGCTATCCTAAATAGATAATTATGTCTAATCATAAAGTTTTAGCTAAATAAAAGCAAGGTTATTATATGTATATAATAGGGAAAATTGAAAACATTAATATAATAAAATACCACACATAAAAAATCTGATATAAAATTACTACAGTGACATAGAAAATATTTATTGTATATTGTTGAGTGGTAGGTTATTAAATAATATGCACTGTGTATACAGTGATATATATTTTTTATTAACAGTTATTATCTTTGTGTTCTCATTAAATATGTTTTATTTCATCTTATTACTTATCTGACTTTTCTAAATTAAATTATAGAACCTTACCAATCAAAAAGAGCTTTACTGTTTTTCTCGATTAAAAAAATAATATATGCTCATTGTGGAACAAAACAACTCAGCAAATACAGAAATGTATAAGGAAGAAATTTACTGTATTCTCTCACCCACAGATAACCATTGTGAATACTTTGGGGTAGGTCTTTATAAGCTTTTCTATGTATAAAACAATGACCTGAGATTCCCATTCAGGTGATTTTAGCAAATGAGTTTCGGACCCTTCTAGTACTTTTCATTAATTCCAGACAAAGAAACAGAGGTTTGCACAGTTAAGAATATTACTTTATCTGACTACAGGTTTCACTAGGTGTCTGCAGAAAGGAACGTGATGACCTTGGGTTCTTAAGATGGAGCAGGCAGAAGGGGAGAGATCCACTGAATTGGAGAACAAAGGAAAGTAAAGACAGAGGAACTATAGTTGATTACTTTGCACAAGGTGGGAAAACGCTTTTCTGCCCTAGAAATTCTTCTTGGCTGCGCTTCCAGCAAAGGAATGCTACATGCAATGAGTTAACTCTATCTACTTTCCCCAAGACAGGTTTTTTTGGAAATTTCACTCCAGGCAAAGAGCCATCTACTTTTCCTTTTTTCCTTCTGTTTTTGTTTTATTTTTTTGAGGTAACATTGGTTTACAATATTATGTAAATTTCAGGTTACATCATTGTATTTCAACTTCTATATAGACTGCATCATGTTCTAAAAGTCTAGTTTCCGGGGCCGGCCCAGTGGTGTGGTGATTAAGTTTGCCCGCTCTGCTACAGCAGCCCAGGGTTCACAGCACCGGTTCGGATCCCTGGCATGGATCTACTCACAGCTTATCAAGCCATGCTGTGGCAGGCATCCCACATACAAACTAGAGGAAGATGGGCACGGATGTTAGCCCAGGGCCAATCTTCCTTAGCAAAAAGGGGAGGATTGGTAGCAGATGTTAGTTCAGGGCTAGTCCTCCTCCCCTGCCCCCAAAAAAAGTCTATTTTCCATCCATCACCATATATATGTGCCCCTTTACCCCTTTCACCCTTCTCCCACTCCTTCTCCTCTGGTAACCACCAATCTGTTTTCCATATCTATGTGTTTGTTTGTTTCTTTTATATTGCACATATCAGGGAAATCATACGGTATTTGTCTTTCTCCATTTGACTTATTTCACTTAGCATAATACCCTCAAGGTCCATCTACATTGTTGCAAATGGCGTGATTTTGTCTTTTTTATGGCTGAGTAGTATTCCATTGTGTGTGTGTGTGTGTGTGTGTGTGTGTGTATACGTACACCACATCTTTCTTACCTATTCATCCATTGATGGGCACTTAGTTTGATTCCAAGTCTTGGCTTTTGTGAATATTGCTGTGATGAACCTAGGGGTGCATATATCTTTTTGAATTAGTGTTTTTATGTTCTTTGCATAAACACTCAGAAGTGGAATAGTTGGATGATATGGTAATTTTAGTTTTACTTTTTTGAGAGATTTCCATACTGTTTTCCATAGTGGTTGCACCAGTTTGCATTCCCACCAGCAGTGTATGATGGTTTCCTTTTCTCCACATCCTCTCTAACACTTGTTATTTCTTGTCTTTTTAATAATAGCCATTCTGATGGGTGTGAGGCGATATCTCACTGTAGTTTTGATATGCATTTCCCTAATATGTAGTGATGTTAAACATCTTTTCATGTGCCTGTTGGCCATCTGTGTATCTTCTTTGGAAAAATGTCTATTCATACCCTCTGCTTATTTTTTGATTAGGTTGTTCTTTTTTGTTGTTGTTGAGTTGTATGTGTTCTTTATATATTTTGGATATTAACCTCTTATAGAGTACATGATTTGCAAATATTTTCTCCCAGTTGACACTTACTTTTCTTGATCAGTAGAATCCAAAGTCGGGTGCACATAACCAAGCAGGTAAGCTGCTTGAGTATGAGAAAAATACTCAGAGTTCTCTTTCCATTTTTGAAAAATATCATTCTTTCTTAAATTTCAATCATATTTTATATTGCACATAATATATTAGTGTAGTGATGTATGTATATAATTTACTGGTAAATAAATATACACGGTCACAACCTTTCTGCTGTTAGAAGAGTACAGTGAAAAAAATGTCGACATCATCTTTCTAAAGGTATAGTTCCTTATGTTGCTGCAGTCAGGTTTTCTTTATTATGCATCCTGTTTAGTTTCTTCATAATTATCTTTAATATATGAATTTTCATACTAAATTCAAACTTTACAATTTACCAAAATAAAAATGTCTATTATTTCTCAGAGAAAATAATCAGAACCTCTTAAGAAGCAGGGTTTTTTTCTTTGAATTTTCTCCAAAATACATGGGGAAAATTAGCCTGTAAAAAAAAATCAGTTCTTTTTTAGCTGATATGAAACTGAAAATTGTATTTTTTGTATATTTGGATCAAAAAATATTGAACACCATCTATGAGCAATGTGCTGTGAAAAAATCAAAGAATAAAATATGACTTCTTCCTTCAGAATCACAAAATGTGTTTATATAAATTGATAGGGAAGATAGATTGATAAGGTAGATATATATATAATAGATTGCAAATATGGCATCCTTTTTGTACTTGATACTGACTGAAGAACACACAAATTAAATTTATTAGATTCACACAAATTCAGAGTCACTAGGTGAAAAAGAGCCATTATGCATTTATAAAGAGTGTAAATTAAGAACTAATTAAAAAGATAAAAATGTGATATTAAGTATTAACTCAAATATTAACATGCTTAGCTGTAAATAGATGCCCCTAAAGTGGATGAAATAACCATTCTCTTAAGTAGGATGAGTACCTACTTTGATATCTTACATACTATGTTAATTTACACATGCAAATATTTTCATCATAGATGGAACAAAGGCATAGTACTTAACATCTATTTAATATCTATTTAATATCTATTATGGGCCAGGCAATGTTCTAAGTATTTCACGCATTATAAATCTTTTAATCCTTACAACAATCCTGTGAGCCACATACTATTATTTCCTCCCATTTACAGATGCAAAAACGAAAGCACACAGAGTTTAATTAACTTGCCCAAGGTCACATCACTAAGAATTATAAGAGAAAGCATTTGAAACCTGTCAGTATGACTGGAGAGCTTAACTTTCCTATTTATCAGGAGTTTTAAAGTTGTGGAGGTGAAGTGTAAACTTGTATTTTTAGAATATAGCTGTCACGCTGGGATACAGAGATGAAAACCAAGGTTATAGAGTCGTTACAAAACAAATGATTGCATGCAATGTGTATTTTGTGTGCTAATGAGGATCTAAAGTACGTAAGCATGTTGAGTGGAATTTGATACCAGGCTTGGCTTTGCTCCTTTACTCTCACAATCCTATGATGTTGTTTCCATTTCACTTTACAGGAACATTTCTGATCCCATTTCAGAAATTTGAAACCATGGAGCAAGGAAACAATTCAAGAGTGACTGAATTTGTACTGCACAGTCTTTCAGGTTCTCGAGAGCTACAACTTTTCTATTTTGCATTTTTTACACTTTTCTATTTATCCGTTGTGCTGGGGAACCTCCTCATTGTGCTCACAGTCATCTCTGAACCTGCTCTACACACACCCATGTACTTCCTACTCAGTAACCTCTCCTGCATTGATGTGTTTCTCTCCACCTTTGCCACACCCAAAATGGTTGTTGACTTCCTTATGGAGCATAAGACCATCTCTTTTGAAGGCTGCATGACCCAGATATTCTTTCTGCATGTCTTTGCTGGTGGTGAAATGATGCTCCTCGTGGCCATGGCATATGATAGATATGTAGCCATACGTCGACCCTTGCATTATGCGACCATCATGAGTGTGCGCAAGTGCACAAGCCTTGTGATGGGCTCCTGGCTCGTTGGGGTTCTGCACTCAGTAAGTCAGTTGGTCTTCACAGTAAACCTTCCATTCTGTGGCCCCAATAAAGTTGATAGTTTTTTCTGTGACCTTCCCCTGGTTATTAAACTTGCCTGCACTGATACCTTTACTCTTGAGGTTCTGCTGCTTTCAGACAGCGGTCTAATGGCCGCGAGCTCCTTTGTGCTCTTGCTGACCTCCTACATGGTCATTCTGGTTACTGTGCGACGACGTTCCTCAGAAGGCATGTCCAAAGCAAGGGCCACTCTGACTGCCCACATCACTGTAGTGACCCTCTTCTTTGGGCCCTGCATCTTCATTTATGCCTGGCCTTTTAGCAACCTTCTAGTGGATAAGGTTCTCTCGATATTTTATACTGTTTTCACACCTCTCTTAAACCCCTTGATCTACACCTTAAGAAATAAGGAGGTAATATCAGCAATGCGAAAACTGAGGAGTCGACAAGTGAGTTCCTGACAGTCTCCCAGCTCTCCCTTTTGATAAATAACAGCCCATAATAAAAGCCAGGTTAGTATACCTTCCTCTGTGAAGTACTGTTATGTCTGAAATATCATAGGACACATTTTCTTCCTTTTTATAGCATTTGCTTTTATAACAGTAAACAAACCATCTTAGATAACAGGAGAATTGGACTCCCTGTCTTTTGCTTATGAAATAATTCTTATTTGATTCAGACTAAAATTGTTTATAATAATACAAATCTTTTCCTATAAAATATGTCTACCAAATTCATACTTCTTCCAATCAACTTGATAAATATGAAAAAGCACAAAATACTAAAGTGACGTAAGATATTTAAGTCATGTTTTAAATTTTAAATAGTAATTAATTTGCAGCTATTTTCTAATCATCATCTTACCTGGTATCACAAATTAGAGTTGGGTATTATCATAAATTTTATCATTTTCTTACCATTTTTTGGTTGATGGAATAAGTCTTCTGATTGTAAAGCTTGTTCTGTTTCTCTGTCTCTCTCTGTCTCTCACTCTCTATAAATGTACGCAAACACACACATGTTTTTGCTATTAAAAATATTTCTTTCTGAATGAAGGAACAAAATAGATTGAGATGTTTTTTAGATTATAAGGATAATATTTCTTCCAATTTGGACTCTCACTACAAACTATCCAAATGTAGGGACCAAAGAGCAAATAGATTATGTTGCAGAACTCATTATCTGAGCTCAGAAACTGAATAGATTCATATATTTACACTAACCATACTGCAAATACTAAAACTTGAGCCCACAATTAATGTTTCTTTATATCCGTGTATTAAATTAAAGTTCAGAATTGACACTCAAAGTTAGTGGTTCAATGACTACATGCAAAAATGGATCTCTCTCCGTTATATAAGTAGACGGTTTTCACCAATGGTGCTAAATGTATGTTTTTGCCCTATGTATTTATTCTCTTGCCAATCTCCAGGTGATGCTCTATAATCTACACCAACCAATAAAACATAATTCAGAATACATTTTTTCAAAGATTTCTAAAAGTATAACATTATTGTTTTGACTTTTCAGAAGTCTACATTTTCATACTTAAGTTTAATATTTAATTCTTACTGATAGTCTAACTCCTCTTTCACCAATTAGAAAACTGAGAGTCAAGTGTCATAAAGGTTAAATGAGTTGAACACATTCATAATCAGCAAGTAGAAGAAATGATACAACTAACTTCAACTTCTGACCTCTAATGTTTGAAAGAAAAACCATACCTCAAGGGCAAGTTATGTTTTTGAAATAGCGTCAAAGAAATGTTAGTATGGTATAGAATTTAATACCAATTATATTTTAAACAATTTTTGACCCACTTTTCTTCTTCATAACTTTACAATTCTGCAAGGTTCTGTTGATTCTTTTCTAAAACATAGAATTAAAAAAAAAAACTTCTAAAGGACTGTGTCGTATGATGATGGCGATGATAAAGCCAAACATATATTCAATAATCACAATGTAATTTATAAATTGTTTGTTTATATATCATCTCATTTGATCCTCACAAAGTATCTGTGGATTAGAAAAATAAAATTATACCTCTATTACTGACACTATTGAAATTTAGGTAATCTGAAACCATTTCTATAAAAATACTTATGAATTCTGGGTGCATTCTCTGAAGTAAACAAATGACCTCATGGTATCTGAAGCAGTGGAAGCCTTGGGAGAGGAAAGTTGATGGGAAGTGATTACAGGTCACGAAAATGATGGAAGTGCTTGGCCATTGGGAGCTCTGTGCAACAGTGTGAGGCAGAATCGGCTCTCTTGGATCTGGTACGCTCAAAGAAGGAATGCACGAGAAGAGGGTATTGAGGCGTACAAGAAAAAGGCAAAAATATTTATCCTCACTGGCCTAGCCTGTGCATAGAAAACTTGCTTCTTCTTGGAAATTATAATCATGGAATTGCCCACATATGGGTTTGGAGTTTGAATTTATACTCTCCGCATAGTCAGAAGAGCTTTAACCTGAAAAAAATCAGCATAAGCTATTGGGAACCCAAGAGGTCATTGAAATTTTGGGGTCATTTGGAAAAGCAAAGACAAAAACCTTTCTGAAGGGTCACATCCTTAAAACTGGCCACACAGGATTTAGACAGATGAAGTTCTGCTGAACTTGAGTCCACAATCAAATTCACAAAATACATGAAGGGTCTGTCACAATGAATGAGAGTCAGCAGACAGAGTAAACAGTAGGCTAACTTCCTGATCCTCTCTTGAATCAGCAATAAATCTATTGGGTACATATTACGAAGTAAATATATTCAAAATGACTAGATATACAAGGCAAATAAAAAAGAGAAAATATTACTATCATAAAAAAAAAGCAAGTCACTTCTGCTCCTGGGAAGAGGAGTAGACATAATTTTCCATATTCTTCCTTGTAAATATAATTACAATCACTGGACATTATATATATAATATATAAACATTATAACACTGAGAGTTGGAGCAAAGAAGGGAGCCTGGATAGGGACCCAAAGAATGACACAACATGACTGAAGAAGCCAACAACTCAGAAACACTAATGATAGCAGACAGGAAAAAGCCCCAACAAGAGCCTGTTCTCTCTAGACAAAGCACCAGGAAAGGGGCAGCCTGGTAAGAGAGAAAACTTTTAGAAAATTTTTCTACTTCAGCCAAACACCACACAAAAATGTCTTTGGTCTCACCTCACCCACACCAGCAAAGGCCAAGTGGGTAGCCTAGACTGCTACCCCTGGCCAAAGTGTAACAAGGTACCCGAATGCCCCCGCACCCCTGAGTTGGTGTCAGAGAAGGCCAAGTAGGGAGCCAGAACTTCCATCTTTGTTAGACTGTAAGCAGCACCTCCTCCCAGGGTGTGAGTGAGTAGCAGTAACAAGGTGCTCCTATCCCTCTCCGTCAGGGAAGTATCAACGGAGGCCTCGTGAGGAGTCAGAACTCTCACTCCCACCCAACAGTACTGGAAGCCTCCTCACCTACCCTTGGGTGTTGACAGAGGCAGAGCTGGGAGTTTAAATATGGTGCAGATTTTAAATATGGTTCAGAGTCTTAAAATGGGGTATCTCTGATAAACCGTTGTTTACAGTAATTAAACTCAGAAACTTTGGATTTATGAGGCACAGCTGCCTAAGCATGAGGTATAAAATAGAGATATTTCATAAACTAAACAGACTTCTGTTTTATCAGGTAATTCTGCAAAACTTCATTTGGTGACCTCATTTATTATTCTGGGCCAAAGGGGGCCTATCAGATGAGGAAGGAAAGACCTAGGGATCTGTTTGCAATGTTCCAGGCCTCTTTCTGCTTTGTCTTTACCTCTTGATGGCCCACGTCTTTGAATTTGTTAGTAAAGCATGATACTGTGTAAGTTCCTGGATTCATGGAATCAGACTTGACAATCCAGTCTTTTGTGTTAGCTCAGCTGCAATTGGAGGGGTTGTGTTAAAGAGCTCTAAGGCCTTGTATTTTTAGGGGGGGATAAACGTATTGATTAATTTTGACTTGTTATGTCATATAAGCATGTTAAAATTGTGAGGGCAGCCACATTTCAAAATAAAAATAGAATATATGATCTCCAAACTAGTAGAGGAAACAAAGTGAGACAAAACCCAATCCATTTAATAGAAGACAAGAAGGAAGAAGAAAAGAAACATAGTAAAAACAAAGCATAAAGTAGTAAAAATAAATACAAGTGGGAGACAGAGAGAAGGAGAGAATTAATGAGTGAGATTTAATTCACCAGTTTTTACTTTTGAAGATAAGCTTATATTTTTTAATCCATACCAAACCATATGGCAATAGAAAGTTGAAAAAAAGAAAAAATATACCAGAAAAACACTAACAAAAGAAAGCTGATGTAGGCACATCAGGCTTACTAATATCAGCCAAAAGGTATTTTAGTGCAGAAAGTATTATTAGGAAAAATTTTGGTGAGAATATATTGCTAAAGGAAATGTTCTCCAGGATTATATTACCCTCCTAAACTTGTATAAACCCAATGACCTAGCATCAAAATGTACAAAGTGAAGAATTACAGGGAAAAGTTGGGAAATCCCACAATCATCATCAGATATTAATAAAAGTACCAAGCAACAAAATTTGCTATATCTATAGAACAACTGAAACACAATAATGTGGATCTCATGAACATGTGAGAAAGATGTTGCCTAATCAATTTAGACACATTACTGTATATTTCCCGTAGATGAGCGTACTCCTGACTGAGCACAGTTAACCTGGGTTCTGAGAACAAGGAAGACCATTATTAATAGTTTCTGACACCGTTAAAAACAGGCATTTCATGTAACAAATTTAAGTGTATAATAACTTATGAGAGGAGTTATAATAGTGTACCTTTAAGCATGTGCTTAATTGGTAAAAATCAGTATATCTTATGTAATCAGGGGGGCAAGCATGTAGAAAAACAGGAGCTTTTATACACAACTGGTAGAAGTGCGTAACCATCTGGGTCCAGTCATAAGATAGAAACCACACAACAGGTTAAAAAGTTTAGTGTAAGGAAGTATTAACTATAATACAAAAATAACTGTAAGATATAAGGAAACTCTACATGGTGCCGTAGGGCAGAGGGAGAGTACCCAAGGAAGGACGATCTTGAAAGCGGTTCAGACTCATTGGAGAAGGTATGTTTCATCTCACCAGTTGGTAAATAAGCTCCCTGGTTGGGCCAGGTCAGAGCTTGTCTTGAAGGGCTGGGCAAACAATAAGCCACCCATTGTGATGGGGGGAGGCGGGGAACAGGGGATCAGCAACTGGTGGGGTGTGTGTGCAAAGGGAGTCTAGGTGCTGGCACGGGCAGGAACCCTTTAGAGTGGCGGTCCCCGGTTTCTGTGTGGAGAGGACTGTGGAAAGTTATCACCAACTGTGGCTGCAAGGTCCCATGAGCGGCCATGTTTTGGGTCCATGTCTGGGGCAAGTGCCACCGGATGTCCTCACACCCACCCTGCTGACC